TAAATTTACGTCGGACTAGAGGGGTTCCGACGTAAATTTACGTCGGACCCCCTCTAGTCCGACGTAAATTTACGTCGCACTATGAGACTACGACATTAATTCCCACATTTACGTCGGACTAGGGGGGGTCCGACGTAAATTAGTCTCCACTTAATTACGAAACTGCCACCTCGTTTTTACAACGTCGGTGTTTACTGTTTCCGACGTAAATTGGGTGATGTAAATACCCTTTTTTGCACTATTGTATGAAGCTTGGATCAAGGAGGATTCCAATGAATTGTTACAATTGATAGTGGATGCTATAAAAAGAGGGTAGGGTATTATGAAGAATTATTTTTTTTTATTTAGACATTATTTTTTTTTTATCTTTGACTCTTTTTAAATTTGAATGTATGATTTTTTTTTAAATCTTATCAAATGTCAAAACTTGACAAAATCCCACAGAATCTATTAAAATTCTGATTTAAAAGTCTTATAGAATCCATTAAAATTCTGATTTTAAGTCTTGTAGAATCTTGCAAAATCTTAAAAGTCATGAAAATCTTGTAAAGTCTTTTAAAATCCGCAAGATTTTTTTTAATAAAAAAGTCGTTTAAAATCCTAATCCAATACACCCCCTTTAGTGTTGATTTTGAATGAGATTTAATAAAATATTTTGTATCACTAGTTTATACTCACATTTTTTAACAATATACCAACATATATCATATTTATTGTATGGGTAAAAATAATTTTTAATGGCACGTATTGTATCACTATAAGATGTATGTCATTATATTTGTAAAAAAAATATTAAAATATAATTTTTTTTGCTTTTTCGTCTTTATTCCTAGGAAGACCCTATACTAATGTTTCTTGACTGAGTTTATAGCTTGCACATCATACGACCACTGCTATCATCTAGATATTTGTATCTCTTATTTTTTGTCTTCACAATAATATTTTTTTATAAATGTGTAGTCTGACACTATTGATGAATGAGTTGGTGAATATTAATTTTCTTACATTTTCAAGAATCATCGAAAATGTGTAATCCGACACTATTGATGAATGAGTTGGTGAATATTAATTTTCTTACATTTTCAAGAGTCATCGAAAATTATTATCTTCTCAAATGAAGATTTTTCAAACATGATAATTTATTATGTATTGGATTTTCAATTTATGTTTGAAATTTAAATTGATTTTTTTTAAAAATAATCTAACTTAATTTACTTTCTCCATTTTCTTTTTGTTTTCTTTTCCTTCTTAATCTTGTAAAAAAAAATGTTTTTAGAAGATGAAAATGCATATTGGCATGTGATAAATTAATGCCATGATGGAACGTTACAGGATGTAGAAAGGCAATACTTGATTTTTGGCTCAAAAAATTGTAATTAAAAATGCATAAATTAAGGGCTGAAAATAAAATGTTTAAAGATTTATTTTAAGAAACCATTAAGAATCACCGTGCATGCCTATAAAATCAGAGGTCACGATTAGCTTTCACCTTAAAGCAATGACTTCTCAAAATCGTGATCAAGATTGTGATAACATCCATTTTTTCAAGGTTATTCTTGAAGGTACCCTTCGAGATGGAAAAATGGTAACTATTCATTCTCTCCCTCTCTTTCTTTCTTTCAATAAGTTGCTAATAACATACTTTATTTTCACTTTAGAAGATCGGATTCAGCAAATTAATAATGATAACTATTTCAATACGTTATGATTTATCAGATATAATCTTAATGGCTGGTAAGAACAAGATTGATATTTCAGTACATTAGTAATTTGTTATATTTGTATGGAATAATATATAATGGTTGAATTTTTCATCAGCAACCGACTTTCATCCCCTTCAAATTTCATTACATAGAGAAAATAGAATAAGATATCGATATTAAATTCGATTCAACACTATAATCAATAATGTTAAGTGCATAATTGTGACACATAAAAATGACTAGTGAGTACTATGAATATGATGACTACCATGCATGGTTCCTTTTCATCAAGAATGTAGCTTAATATTTATTTATGGCAATATTGTATAGTATTTAAAGTGTTTTTTTTTCTTTTTTTTTCTTTCTATTAGATGATTCCTAGGAGTTTTGTGAAGCGATATGGGGAAGAGTTATTAAACCCAGTAATGCTGAAGCTCCCAAATGGTGCTAAATGGGAAGTACATTGGACAAAATGTGACCATGATGATATTTACTTTGAGAAAGGTTGGGAAAATTTCGCAAAACACTATTCCCTTAGTAATGGGCACTTCTTAGTTTTTAGATATGAAGGAGGATCTCAATTTCAAGTTCTTATATTTGATGGGAGTGCTTTGGAAATAGACTATCCAACAAGTAACAGTAGCACACATCATGCTGAAGGGACCAACACATCTCATGAAGATGTTGAAGAGATTGATGATGACTCTCCATTACCTAGAAAACAGAAAGCCAATCCAGGTAATTTCTTTTAATTTCGTCATTTATATTTTTTTCTTTCGTTTTTATTTTTCATTTTCAATGTTTCAGAGTTTGGATGGGATTTAATTTTTAGATTTAAATATATTTTTTAATCATTATAAAATGAGTGAGATTTGATTTTAGTCTCTATAAAAAAATTCATTATTTTTCATTCTTTTAAAATTATCTTGAAAAACATTAAAGATATATAAAATGAACAAATCTTAATTTTAATCTCTATAAAAATACTTATTTTTTATTTTTATCTCTCTAAAATCATTAACCCCAATCGTGTGGCTCAGCGGTAGGGATTGATCCACGCTTAAGAAAGGTCAGGGGTTCGAATCCTGCCTTGTGTATGCAGCCGCGTTATACTTCAGGGATGAACAAAAAAAAAATCATTATTTTTTTTTAATATTCTTAATGTAGATAGATATCATTCATTTTAAGGATTTTTAAAAAATTATGGTGATGTCATATGTTAATATCATATATTATATACAAAATTGTGTCAATAGAGGTAGTTACTTAGTCATTTGATAATAGATTAGAAATAACAATTTCAATTTTGTATGATAAAAAAACAGACAAAAAAATTTTAAGGGACCAAAACAAAAAATTACTCATTTTAAATAAAATCAATTAATCGATAATTATTATACCAATATTAGTTAATACAAATATAAAATAAAATACCTTAAATATTATTATGCCAATGTTAGTCAAGAATTGTTTAAGATATAAATTTTGCCATAAATTTTACCTTTATGTATGAAATAAAATACCTTAAGAGATAAGCATCCATCTTGTATGCACTTTTTATTAATAGAGATTAATTAATCATTAAATAATAACTTAAGAGAGAAGCATTCATCTTATATGCTATTCTTAATAGAAATTAGTCACTAAATTTTGACAAATATAAATATTTTAAAAAAGAAATATTCATCTTATATACGATCCTTAATAGAGATTAAACCCTAAATTTCTAAAAAAATAAATAAATAAATAAATAAAAAGTGGATTGAGTGTTAATAAGAGTGCATAGCCTTCTCAAAGGTATAAGACTTCCTTTGTGATCGGAAATGGCAATACACTATTTTAATACTATATTTGTAAATTACAATGCTGAAATAATAGTTTAAGAAACTTTGCAGGGGCTAGGAGAGGAAGGTGGGTGAATGGTAAAATTGGGTCAAGAAATGAATGTAACAGATACAGGAGAAAGAAGAAGGCACATGAAGGCAATGAAGGAAACAAAGCTTCAGAGAGAGCCAATATGTTCAAATCTAATCATCCCTTTTTCACTCGTCATTTGTTTCAATCATACATCCAACATTACTTGGTATATTCTTTTGTTATCCCTTCGGTTTCGCACGTTTTACAATCAACACATTTCTCTTCAATATAATTGCTAATAACATTTTAATCCTCTTCACAAAATTCAAAACATCTGAATATCAGTAAGTTTTTTATTATCAATAAAAGTATTTTATTCTCCATTCTATTTATTAATTCTATTCGCTCTTTTTATTAATAAAAGTTTATTTTTGTCCCTTAATTTTTAAAACAATTTAGTATATATATATATATATATATATATATAGGAGAGTTCAAACGACACCGGTATAAGTGTTACACCGCTCAATAATTTTATATTAAATGTGAAGTTTGTAAATCCAACCGTTAGATTGAAAGTTCATATCTTTTAGATAATATATATCAAATTTTATATTAATCTAAGATGATTTGATACTTCATTCTCATAAAACAAAAATATATATGATCTAAAATATATATGATACTAAAATATGAACACTTTGATTACATTCAAGTTATTGTTCAAATTTAACAAAAATTTGATATATATTATCTAAAAGATATGAACTTTCAATCTAACGATTGGATTTTCAAAATTCACATTTAATATAAAATTATTGAGCGGTGTAACATTGAGTAAAAATTACGCTGGTATCATTTGAACCCTCCTCGTATATATGTATATATATTCTTATTGAGATTGCCCACATTAAATTTTTACACATTTTTATACACGTGACAATACTGTATCTTTTTTTTTCTTCTTCTAAATTGTGTGATGTGTACCAAAATAATAATATAGAGAAAATTAAATTAATTAGAGAAAAAATTAAAATAACTAAATAAAATGAAGATTTATTTTTTAATTATATTTGTTAACCAGTGATTTGAATTGAACAGGTTCTACCAACAACTTTTTCCAGAAAATATATGAAAGGGTTGGAAGAAGGGAGTGCAAGCCTTGTGGTTCGTGAGGGCATGAACAAAACATGGCGAGTTAGGTTAAAGTACAGTGAAACCAACAACAGAATCTCTATTAATACCGGTTGGATATCAATTGTCCAGGAATACAATTTAAAACAGGGTGATGTTTGTGCATTTGAGATGACTCATTCTCATGACACAGATTTTGCATTCAATGTTACTATTTTTCGAAACACCTAAGTATCAAGCTCGGAGCAATTTCAAGGTTTTCTTTCTTTATTTATTACTAGCTATTAATTATTATTATTATTATTATGTCTATTTTGTTGATATTCTATGCAATATTTCCTTAACATCAACATCAATTGTTTCAATGTTTTTATGCTGGTATGTATTAAAAGTGTGGTAGTTTCTGCAGATTTTGAAAGTCCCAGTATGAGAAGGGGAGAATAAATTCAAGGATTTCGTCAAAGAATTCACTAGAAGAAGACTTCTTTGAGAGAATCAAGTGGAATGTTGATAACATCGATATATATATTAGTTATGTTATAATATATATTATCCATATTGTGCTTATGATATGCTAAGGAGGATTGTGTTATGTTCAATTTGATTCCCTTGAAATTTAATTGTGAAAAATATTTTGTGCACAAAAGATGAACCTCTAGATTCTGATGAAGTTACATTATCATATTTTTGAAAAAGAATTTTTTTTAGAGAAATGAAAATAGTGTTAGCTATGTGCAACTTGTTAAAAAGTGGTCAACATGTTCAACATCCAATTTTTACGTAGTTTTGTAGCTCAAATAGTATTTAACCCCACTTTCAAAAATAAAAATTATTTAACGACTGTTTTACCTTTGGCCTTAAATCCATTCTTACCTTAATAATAATAATTTCATTTTGTTAAAAAAAGATTGCCGCAAACACATGGAACGTTATTATTCTCTCTCAAAAAATTCTGGTAATTCCATCTGGTATATTGAAACGAGCAATTTCTTCTTTTATAATTTATAATAATTGAAAGCAATCATTACAAAAGCATCTACAATGAGAGCTGTTTATAAGCAACTCCCAACTACTTTAAATGAATCTTACTGTATCACATCACTCAAAAGCAATTCATATTATATTTTTACAATTTTTGCTCTAATGAAAATTGCTTATAAGTACCCCTACTTTTTTACAACTCATACTACACTTTTTGACACCTCACACTACACTTTATGATAAATTTTTATAAAATTAATTATTATGGATAATATATAAATATGAATAATAAAAAAAAATTATAATAAAAAAATTACAATAATAAAAAGAAATTACATAATAAAAGAAATTACATAAAAAGAATTACCAAAAATTATAAAAAAATTAAATATGAAAACTAAATATGCACTAATTTTCGTTATTATGATGTCCAAAACGTTCCCAAATATGTTCTCCCAACGTCTCTCCCAACGTCTCTATGTCTCTCAACGGTACATGCAACGTCTTTTTTTTTTTTTTTTAATTTCATTCGAGTCTTACTTTTCACTTTCTCTTTATCATTTTCTATTTGTCACCTTCCCTCAACGTCTCTTTTTCTTCTCTCTCAAATTTCTCATTCTCACCATTCACTCTCTCTCTCTCAAAGGTCCACCTAGGATGAGGAGTCTGGTGGGGCTGAGCGGCACGCACCAGATGGGGCTAGTCGGGGGGAGACTTGCGCGCGGCTGACAGGGACTGGTGGGGCGGAGCCGCGCGCGCTAGAGGGGGTCGGGTCGAGCGGAGCGGCGTGTGCTAGAGGGGGCTGGTCGGGGGGAGCGCGCGCACGTGGTTGAGGAGTCTAGTCAGGGGTTGCACGCGCGCGACTGAGGGGTTCGGTGGGGGGTTTCCGCGTGCACAGCTAGGGGTCTGGTCTGGGGTTGCGCGCGACTGAGGGGTCTAGTTGGGGGTTTCGCGTGCGTGGTTGGGGGGTCCGGTCGATCAGGGGGTTGCGCGCGCGCGGTTTGGGGGTTCGTTGGGGGGTTTCGTGCGCGCGGCTAACGGGGTTGGTCAGGGGTTTCTGCACGGTAGAGGGGGTCCGGTCAGGGGTTCCGCGTGGCAGAGGTTTCCTGACATGCATGCGCTCTGAGAACATGGCCACCGGAGGGAGTCGACCAAGACCAATAACAGGTGAGGGAAGTTTTATCAGTTTTTTTGGTTTGCAAAACATGTTCCACCTTGGATGAACATCATCCAATCAAATCTCTCCATTTTCAATTTTATAGGGTTAAGAACCGTTGCTTCTACAAGCAACAAAGAAAAAAATATAAGAACCGTTGTTGTCACGTATGTTTACTCCAACGAGAATTTCTTGTAATAGCACTGTTGCTTACAAGTAAGACACACAACAAGCACCCCCACCGGAGGTGCTCTTAGTGACACTTATAATATTATGCATAAAGCTTTGGATATGAATCATGTTGTAATCATTCTAAAAATAAAATAAAATAAAATAAAAACTGAATACAATGTTTACATGTGGTTTCGAACAAATCCAAAATTATATATAGCTTACCGATTTTGTAAAAATTATTTTCTTTTGAAAAATATTAGTGAAAATGTTTGGGTGGATATTTTTGTTTTTGTTTAGTTTTCCAATCTTTAGCAATTTTCTTTCGACATCAATTTTATATTTTAATTTCATTTTCTTCTTAATTTATGACAATTTCTTGGTATAAAAACTAGGATGGCAAAACGGGCCAGGCCGGCCCGTTTTGGCCCGGCCCGCCGAAAATGGGCTGGGTCAGGCCAGGCCGCCAATGTAAAATGGGCTGGGGATGCTGGCCCGCCTCGTATAAGGACGGGCTGGTGGGTTGGCGGGCCAGTCCACATATAAAAAAAATTAAAAAAAATATATATTTTATGTTCAAATAAATTTTTTTT